GGGGATGGCACCCCCGCTTCGGTAGCCCGACGACCTGCGTGCGAAATCGAGCACTTTACGTTAGCACAGTTTAACGAGGACCAATACCGCACACCCTCGGTCCCTACGCAGACTGATCCAAGTGGTCACCCACCGCACACTGACCGTAACCAGTGATGCTTGACTTCGGTGATCTGCTGGGAACAGTGTCTTAACGATCAGTCCACTGCGGGACCCTAAATCTTCAGACTTGTATACTAAGAATGCATTACAAATTTCCGAAAAAAAACACGTATACAAACACATTGGCAAGATATATCTAGAAATAAAACCTGTTACCTTCCTCTCTAACGTGTGTAATATCTTCTTAGATTTGAGAATTTACAAGTCATTCAACAAACAAGTCGGTAGATTCAGTTATTATGATGGTACTTTATTTGCGTCATACAAAAGGTGCACAATGGGCTATTGGCAGCTGTGCGGAAAACATTTCAGAGGATTATCCGAAGACTTGCCATCACAATTTTGATCATCAGCTGAGAGAATGGCTTCTCCCTCTTTGTTAGCCCGACGGCCAGCGAGCGAAGTCAAGAACTTTATGGTAGAACAGTTTAACGAGGACTGATACCGCTCCTTCTCAAACCTTCACTGACTGATCAAAGGAGTCACCCACCCACTTACTGACTGAAACCAGTGATGCTTTAAATCGGTGATCTTGACACAGAGGCTGGGAATCATGTCTAACGATAACTATGAGACAACATGGATACATAAGATCTCTTTTATTGCTTATAATTCATTTCGTTGATTGTCTTGTTATGTTTCGAAATGAGTCTATTAGTAATCAAGAACTTCTAGTTGAGAATGAGCATCTCAAGCATTCAATGTTTAAGTGGATGAAGTTAAAATACTCAGTAATAAAGTTCTCAAGTTTTCATATTTGAGAAAGAGAAAAAAGGAATCTTCTATCTGCTTTATATGGGCAAAATAATAATTTCTTAACTTGTTTTAAACTTTTCTAAATTTATATCGATGCTGACTATTGGAATTTATTATTTATTCATTTCCTTTTGTAGAGATTTTTTGTAAGTCATGTCCTTGGGATAAAAAAAACTTTTTCAAATCATAAGTGATCTCTATGTTTGAAATTTATTTACTAGATTTTATTTCTCGGAAAATGTATATTTATCATTTCAGGACATTACAAGTGAATAAACAATTTTTTTCTCGTTAAGTTTATTGTTGAAGATACAGGGTAGATAATAATAGATAATAATATGAGTTTATTTTTATTTACTAGAATGGAATCCGTTTCAAAAAGAAAAATGAATATTTTAAGTATTTATATTTTCTGTATAATCAAACGAATAATTTTTTGTTTGTTTAATCGATGATCACGAGGAAAACTAAACAATAGTATTTGAAAAAAAAACTTGTTTTTCTGGCTTGGAAAGAAAAAGAAGCCATACAAATCTCTCTTCGCCTGCAGTCTTTTTGTTGAGCAAAGCTAGTCACGTGCATAATTTTCATGGTGAGTAAAGTAAGATAAACAACTGTTACATTCATATCGACCCAGAATCAAAGCCATTCAAGTTCAAGAATTATCAGTTTTTATTTTTCTTTATCTATCAACAAGGTATTTCTTTGAAATAATTACTTATCCTTTAAGTATTTTCTACTTTATGAGCCTTATTGTTTGTTTTCCTATTGACTGGTTCTTATCAGGCTGAAACGTAAAAACACGTGAGCGGATATGAAGGGTATTTCAAAGTCCAGTCTTTAGATAAGCACGTTCCATTTGACAACATATGTCAATATCTCACCTATTTTATCCATCTGTTTTCTGGATATTGTTTATTTGCTTTTACTACTTATAAAGCCTCTGACGATTTAAAATTCACTCCTTTTTTTCTCTTGTTCGGTTTCAGAGCACTTTTCGGAACAAAATGCATCGTTTTGCTGGTTTGGGATTGCTGATGATGGTGGTTTGCTCATCCGCCACAAAGTTTACGGATTGTGGATCTGCCAAAGGAAAAGTTGCCAGTGTGGAGGTTTCAGGTTGTCCTGATTCTACACCAACTTGCACTCTGAAAAGAGGTACAACAGCAGCTATTACTATCAATTTCCAAGCCAATGAGGATACCAGTAAGGTTACCGCAGTGGTACATGGTGTCATCGCTGGAGTACCAATGCCATTCCCCGTTCCCCAACCTGATGGTTGCAAGAGTGGTTTAGCTTGCCCCATTAAGAGTGGACAGTCTTATAGCTACAAAAATGAAATCAATGTAAGGAGCTCTTATCCTCCCATTCCTGTTACTGTGAAGTACGAGTTGAAGGATCAAAACAATGCAGATCTTGCCTGCGTGTCTATACCAAGCCATATTCATTAACATTTTGGAAAATATAGTAGGAGTCTGAAATAGAAAAACTTTTTCCTCCTGGAATATGTTGATTCTTCACGAATTTAAAATGTGAACTATTTCAAATTTATTAAGTATTTGTACATAAAGCTGTAATTAGAAGTTGGAAAATACAGAATTTTGTCGGAAAACAGAAAACAGTTTATTTTTTTCTACTGTTCTGCAAAAATTTTTTGATTCATCGAATTCTTAATTTTTTCAGCTCAATTTTTTTTTAAAAAGGAGAATGCATGCTGTCCTAATTTCTGATTGAAAAAGGTAAGTAATAGTTATTAAATTTTAAATCCTAAAATTTTTTTATGCAGAAATCTTCTTGGAATTGTAGATATAATTATTTTTAATATCTAAAAATCCTTTATATTTTACGCTATACTCTTTGAAAACATATAAAAAGTGAATGGAATATTCTTCCTTCTTCAAATATTGTTTCATTTGTTGATTGAATGTGTGAAATATACAAGGGGATTTTTAAAAATGTAATATATTTTATTTCTGAAACGTGCAATAATTTTTCATGCTTCAATTAAGTTTTTAATAATTATTCAGAAACGCGCAAACTCATCCTAGATATGTAAATTTTTAATATATTAAAGATATTGATTTAAACAGCATTAAAAGTTTTACTAAATTTTGTAAATTTTCGATGTATCTATGAACACCACTTCTTAAATTAATATTATTTAGTATATTAGTTTCACGATAAATGTAGAGATAAATTTTTACCATATCTACTTCTTATCATATAATAAAAGAAATGTGAAATACAATTTCCATTAAAGATCTTATTCACAACAGAAAAAAGGGATTTTCATCAAATTTGACAATGCAAAACAGAATATTGTGTAAAAAAATAAGACATCAAATAGTACATATGTGTAACAAGCATTTTTACGAAATATATATTTAATAGAAAAATATTTCGTTAATAGCATTTGCCATTTCAGTAGAATATTTATAAAGATATTCCGTAAGAAAAATATAAAATGAGAGCTAATTTATTGCAGACATTAATCCCTTATATCACTAACTCCTAAATATTGAAATAATATAAATCTTAGTAAAACTTCAACGTTTGAATTAATGAAGTAAAAACTTAGTTTCGAAACAAGCAAATTTTTTTTCTTATATTCTAAGTACATTTTCCTGGAAAGTCTCTGTAAAATGTATATAATCCTAACATTTTGTAAGATTACCGATATAAATTTAATTCTTATTTACTTATCATAATTATATTTAAATTCCTTTAACTATTAATACATTTATTTATTTTATGTATAGTTATTTAAATGAGATTATCAATTAAAATAAGATATTTTCGCAAGTCTATGAATTCGAAAAGATGCTGGTCCAAGTGATATTAAAGTTAACTTAAAGAAAACAACAGTATGATTCCATGTTAGTAATACCTGTCATTGGAATGAAAGATATATAAAGAAAAAAATACTGTAAGTCAAATATTAAAGCTTAACGATTTCGAAAGTTCTATAAAAAGGTGCAGTTTTGCTGAAATTTTAACTAGTATAATAGTTTTTATCTCCGCATGTATGTTTGAGAAGATTAACTATTATATGGCATTAAGAATTTAGACTTTAATAAAAAAAATCTTTCAATATAAGAATACTTTCGTTACTTGAGAATAAATACAGTTGCGCTATTTTGACTTATTCTTTGATAATTTAATTAAATTACAGCATTGTAGTCAATAACTTTTTTTGTATGAATCTTGCTACGTAGAGGGTTTTCAAACTATTAATTTTGATGACTAGTTTGAGTTTTTAGTATACGAATTTAAAACTTATATTAAATTAACTATTTTGAGTAAAATTTTTTAAATTAATTTAATTTAAACTTTCATATTTTAGCAAAATATTGTTGAATTATAAAAATATGTAATCAGGGAGTAGCGAACTTTTATTTTTAGGAGGGATACTCCCATTTTGTTGAAGGAAATTCCTAATTTGACAGAATCATAAATAAACTCCAGCAATTAATTTTAATAAAAAAGGATCAGCAGTGGTTCTAAAAATGATGTGTTAATGACAGTAAAGATAAAGACATATTTGTCAAGTTTTCCAATTTCATCTCAGCGATTTTTTTAATTTTTATATTTAAAGTGGTAGCAAGATTTATACTACAATATTTTATTTTTATTTAATACATTTGGCTTGAATTGTTCGTGATCATCATTATACTTGATTAGTTTAAATACATTTAAAATACCAGATAATCATAAATGTGGCTAAGAAAATTTGCTTACAGTACTTCTTTAAATTTTTATTTCACTACCACTAGAAAAGAAACTTTATATTTTTAAAAGTCTTTTCTATAATAAAACGAATTTTCCTGACGGCTAAGGAAATAGATTAGTCATAAATAAAATGAAATGACTTTTATGTATAAAAATAGAGATAAATTTTAACAATTCCATGCATTTTTTGTTCAAAAACGAATAATAGGATATTTAATTTAGTAAATGGTGCCAAGCATTGAATATAAGTTTATTGAGAGCTTTTATACTACACTTATTTGCTTATTTCGAAAAAGTAAATGAAGAAGCTGTTATCTTTGTAGATTAAAGTGTTTACAGGGATGTAATTGATTTGCTTCAAGAAAAAATATTTTTTGTTTGTTTTCAATCTTTTAAAAGAATTGTAACTTTTTCCACGAATATATTACTGATATAAGAATTTCATACTTGATTAATCTAGTCAAAAATTTAAATAATTAAGGATCAATTTGATAAATAAATATAAAAATTCACAAGGTACACAAAATTCACAAGATGAAGTCATAATTTTCACTACAGCGCAGCACTAAAACAAGTAATTTTTTGACAGACAAATCTCGTTGAATACAGAATAGAAGTGGAATAATAAGGGAATCAAGGTTCTCCTTTAAAATGATTCCGTTTTTTTAATAAAAGGAGAATATTCGACAGTGTTGTATCTAAACGCGGTAAAAATTGCGCTTTTCTTTCCTTTCCAAATTGCGTAAAAAACATCAAACTTTTTAAAATTGACTTCAAAACTAATTCAGAATTTAAACAAAATCAGACGAGTTACGCATTTCTGAGCATACGAGTACGTGGCTGCAAAAAAAAATTAATAACTCCCAGCCAATAGGAGTTAAACTAAATTACGTGTCACAAAAAAAAAGGAAACGAAATCTTCAACTTTGACGTAAAATAACAGCATCAATAACATTTTTATAGCAGTATGTTCAGTTAGGTTTTTATAATAATTAAAGATAATTAAAGAATGAAGGAGACAAAAAAGTGGTAAACTAACCGAAGTGGTAAACTAACCTAGTTTAAAGCGCCTTCTGTTGGCAATGGTAAACTAACCGAAATTTTTTACTTTCCTGGAATAAACTGGCCTATTATGCAGATCATAACAAAAGACTTGTTTTGGACTTTTTTGGTAAATTTTTAAAAATTCTTAGGGCTCTTTTTGGTAAATCCGGTTTTCATAACTAAACGATCTGTAAACTTTTTAGAACTATTTTTTGTTATAGTTAACTATTTTTAATGAATAGAACACAATAATATAGAGGAAAACACATGCATATTATACGTATATAGACGCTTCCGTTTAGATAAGTGTGACTGGTGGGCAATGCTAATCATATTGCTACCATCGTTCATTACAAAATTACGAAGCCTTGTTTTAAGAAACTCCACTGGCAGTAACAGGAATTTTCTTAAAAACAAAAGTAAGCACTTCTTTTGCTCTGAAATATTAAATATTTCAAATTTTTAATTAAAACATAAATGTTTTAATTTTCCTTTCCTGTTTTTAATTTTATTTTCATAAATAGTGTACCATGCTTCAAGCTTAGTTTTATTTATTTAGAAAAAAATTCTTAGATACTGAGAGTTCGAGGCAGAAAGGACGGTAATTCTTAGGTTGAAATTTTTAATTAAAAAGTGTCAATATTTTTGTTGCAGGAAAAATATTTTCTCACCGTTCCTTTAAAAATAGAATAAAATCGACCATTTTACTTTAGCGCTACACAACGAGAAGTTACAGAAGTATAAGGATATTCGATAACTAATTTCCTATTCTTCCTTAACATTGCCTTAGTTTTATCTATCTTCATCACACAAGATACTTTTTTTCATTCTATTCTGGCAACAATAAAGAAAAAAGATTGTTGTCAGATCTCATAGCTGGTCGAACATTTCGTGCTTTGAGAAGGGAGGAAAAATGGCTTCCGGCCTTGTTGGGAAACAGAAGTTTGTTTCTTGTCAATCCGAGCATTATGCAAAGATAAAAGAAACTAAACAAATATCCTGATTTCTGAATGCTTTCAGTTTCCGTTTCCTAGCCTAAAGGCATTAGAAAAGGAAGAAAAAGGTTTCTATTTATTTTTTTTCTCTCTCAAAAACTACATTTCTAACGTATTCCCCACTACATATTTGCACTTTGAGGAATCAATATATAAATTTCTATTTCTCGCCAAAAATGACGCATATATCCTTTTAGCGAAATCTTAAATTTGAATGCGAGAGTGAAAGAAAATTTGTATGTATGTAGCAAATTCTGTAGCCGATAAAATGCAGACGTCACAGAGGAAAACTTGTTTCGTCATTGCTTTTTAAAATTCCATCTTACTATTTGGGAATCCGCATTTTGGTTTTATTCTGAACATAACGCCACATATAGATTTGTGTTCTAAAATCTGATGACAGAATTCGTTTCAAATAATAGCGGCCGTCTTTTGAGATCTTTAAAGAATGTTTCAGAAATCTTCACACGTGCTGATGCATAAGTATTGATGATTTGCTAAAATATATTTGAATAAAAACATGCACAGTGGCTAAAATGTAACATACAATTATATTAATATTGAGCTTGAGTAAAAGGCATAGTTGCGTAAGAAATATTTCTTATTGTAGGAATAAGACAATAGGGGTAAAAATGAAACTGTACATTATTCATGAATAATAATTTTTGTTATTCATGAGTGTTCTATTATACTAGCAACTGATAAAAGCACAGATTCGGTTTTTATAGATGCTTTATAAATAATAGAAAAACACAGACGTAAAATTTGAATATTTCGTAAAATAGGGTATTTGTTTTTCACTATTTCTGTCTTCATGTTGATTGCAAATGCTTTCCTTCTTTTAATTGGTG